CCCCAAAAAATAGACCTTGGTAGTCAAACAGGAAACTTTTTTAAGCTTTTTTAGTTCCAATTGGTAATGCTGCTGCCATGGCACTCACATCATTTAAAGTTTGTTATGCTCCCATGTGTTGAACACATGGCTAGCAGCTCTTCCAACCATCGGGGTCTATGTAATCAGAGCAAAGCAGTTAGCATCATAAATAAAGCAAATATGAACTGATACTATGTACTTCCTTCTCACGGTGAATTAGGATGGTGAACTGGAGTTCAATGCTGTTCTTCACCTAACAGCAAAAGGCTTGAGTGTGGTAGACCTGGACCATGCATGTGCTTGGAAAATGATCCATTTGCCTCTCTAATTGTCTCACATTTGGAAATCTTGGCTTAGGACCCAGTCCTGTGCCAGCCAGCTATATTTGTGGTTCAGGGGGGCGTTCATGATGGCAATTCCACTCTCTTCTTCTACATTTCCTTTTAGTTTTTAGTTAGTTTGCATGTAAGCAGGTCAGTGGCAGTCAGTGGCTGAGGGACACTTGTTGTCTTTGCTCATGGTTGGAACCTGCCTTTGGTTCTAGGCACCACATACAGGCAGCCCTTTTAAGGGACACGGTGGTTCTGTATTTAAAAAGAAGACTTATTATTTGAGATAATTCCTGAACATAATTTAAGAGTATTGAATGTAATTGCATGACTTCAAACAAAACTGAATTTTTAAGTGTATGCATATGTATACATGTGGCAATGGATTCGATATGTTCTGTTTGTTTTTTGTTGCCGCTATCTTTTCTTTAAGGCATATCGGATTGCCATTGTATTCGTATCAAGCATGATGGAAATACCGTTCAATCTTAAGTGCCAGCTCCACTAGCCTGAAACCTGGGATTCAGGTGTCTCAAAATTGGAGATGATGTGCTCTGCTTCCCTGGTAGCCTTGATAGCTTCTGACTTGGATGGAGAGGTACCCTAAATCTTACCTATAGTGCACTTAGCTAATAAAAGAGTGAACACACTCATCTCCCCTATGGGTCAAGCGAAACTGTACTTTCCTCGTACATTTTAAATTTTTGTGTAGTTATGGTAGCATCTTCTGCATCTGCCTACCTTCCCCTTCTCCTTCAAGAAATCTGAGTCTGTGACTTCAACTGAAAAGTTATCTTTGAACTTTGTCCTAATGATCCAGCCTTGCATGTAAAAAAAGAAGTACTTGCGTAAAAATGAAATCACAGGAGAAGTGTTACAGCATTACAAATGAGGTAAGAGTTGGTTTAGTGAGCTTATCAGCAAAAAGGCCAGAAGATTCCAAGTTTGTTTTGGGTTGGTGTTGTTATGGGTTTTTCCCAACAAAATTAAATGTTCAAAAATTAGTTTTTGTACAGCATGAAAATGAAAACAAAGCCTTTTCAACACTTTCATCCAGCTACTGGTTAGAGGCCTGATTTGAGGGCATGGACTCAAGTCTCCTCTTCATTGTCTTCATCCCCAGCTCCTGACATTTGGAAACAAAGGGGATTGAGCGTTACTTGTCTACAGCAAAGCCAAAAACTTAATTGACTTGGTAGTCATCTTTCTGCCCGTGTCTTTCCTCAGTTTAACAGATTAAGATATGCTTCATCACATTTTGATAAAATAAGCTTCAGATCAGCTTTACTTACAGTCCTGTAAGTGACTCTTGGGACTCTGACATCAGATTCCCAGAACTAGTTCCAAGTTTCTTTGGTTTGCTCATGACTTGCTAAATAGATTAGCAGCATGGTTTCGTTAGGTGAATGCAAATGTGTCAGTAAAAAGCAGCATATTGCTATTTCCCCTCCTAAATAATTCACTAAGTATTTTTATATTACTTTATTCTGTGGGTTGACATCTTTATATTCTTTACTACTGAGTTTATTGTAAGACTGTATTATCTTTTAAAAAGTGTACATTAGTGTACATTAGTGTGGTATGTGTGTGTGTACATATATATAGACACACATGTACCCCCAAAGTTTTGTGTCACAAATCAAATACTATAATCTGCTCAGTTGCACAGTGCTTTTTTTTAAACTAGGGTCATAAATATTTCTTTACCAGACAAAACCAATATTGCATGGCAATACACTTTATTTTGTGTAGCTTCTTTCAAGCACATTGTGTCTCAGATACGTTAGAGGTAATTAACATTAACACACTTGCAGATTTTAAAATAATCTTAAGAGGTTTTAGTTTAATGAAAATTCTAAACAACAATAGCAATGTACATGCTTCTTAGTTCCCATGCATCATAAATGTAAAAGGGTGACTACACCTGTAAGAGCTGAGCAGCTATTTACATTCTTGTAAGTATTGGTTTGGTAGAGTGAGCTCTTAGTGAGGGGGATAGTTGGTATCTTTGTTCATTGATTCCAAAAGACCAACACTGTCATGATTCTTTATAAAAAACTGCATATACATGTTTGGACTGTTGTTGGAGCAGTAGGAGGGACAAGTTGTTTTGCTTGGTTTTTGTTTTAGTTTTTGGTTTTGTTTTTAATTAATATGGGACTACCAATCCCACTACAGAAAGGCAGCTCTACTACAAAACAGAAAGTAGAATAATGAATGTCAATAATGTCATGGTGTAATAGCTATATTTTCTTAAAATTTCACAGCAGTGCTGTTGAGTCTTCCTGGTGAAACATCCAAGCTGCCTGGTGGACTCAGCAGATGGTTGCTCAACACCACACGTTTGATTTTTTCAGTAGACAGTTCCGGTAAGAAGCATCACTGTAATGCGCAGTGTAAAGTGGTTTGTTTTTTTTTTTGTTTGTTTTACTTGAATTTAAAGACAAAACCATCTCTAAATTGTGTAATTTTTCTTCGCCTGCTCTATCTGGATCTATCATAGACAGGCCCACCAGGGTCAGGCAGCAAGTGCTGACCTCTGTTCTGGTCAGTTTGCAGTGCCAGATTATCACATCCCCACGCAGGGGGTGTAGTGAGCTAAAGTGGTTCAAGAAATCAGACATGGGATTTCTGCTGCTATATAAGCAACCAATACTTCTTTGCCACTCCCTTTTTAAGCCCCCCATTTACTGTACACACTACCTTTTATTATGTGCTGGTCCTTACTAAGAGTTTAAAAAATTCAGTCTTCATGGTTGCTTCGGTTTTGTGATTTTACTGGAGCTAATAAGGACAGCATGTAGCTCAGATTACGTTAAAAGTATTGATAAAACAGCCAAGTACCTGAAGAAACACCAGTTTCTTAGGAATGGAAACCTAGCCTCTGACCAACTGGAAGCCCTGTAGCAACACCAGTAGGTGGCTGTGGGGCTAGGTGGGAGGAATAACCATTTCACATCCTCTGGGCCACTGGGCATCAGTGGGTTCTGATTTCAGATTCATGCCATTATATATAGCTTTTTCTACTTTTGGAGACAACCTTTGCAACTCTGCAACTCTCAATACCTGGGTGAAGACTAAGCAGGAGTGCAGATAAAAAGAGGAAACTTAAGAAGCAGAGAATTCAAGTTCTCTCATGGGGACAGCTAGATTACTCCCATCCCACTCCAGGCACTGGAAGTGGAAGGAGCTTCGTGATTCGCACAAACTCCTCAGTTTTGTGTCATCTGTGAGCATAAACCGTACTGTGTTACATACTATTTAGTTTGCTTTTCCAGAATTTTTTTAAAGAGGAAATATGATGAAAGATGTGATAGTTCAGCCCAAAACGTTACAGAGTTTTGCAATCTACTCATAAATGACGCGAGAGGACTGACAGTCTGCGTGCGTAATTTATTACAAATTACTAAGTGCTGGGATAGAAAAAAGCAAATGCCATACACAGTCATATTTGTGCCATCCTGTTAACTTTAATATTATGTAGATAGGACATTTAGTCTCTGTTAGTTTATCTGTTTTTTTCTAAGATGTCATCATTATTTTACTGTGCCGTTCTGTAGGACAGGGAAGGAAACTACAATTTTTTTCCCTAGATTTGAAGTTCAAAGCTGTAAACTAATGCTGTTTTCCATAATTCCAATGCCCCATGGACATGGCTTGAAATATTTTAGATGCACCCTGAAAGTAATAAAATGTTAGGTGATTTTATGTTCTCATCTTTCAGAAAGGGAGAGCTCAGTTTGCTGCAATATAAAGTTCTTCTTTTGCCCCTCCTAGGGGTAAAAAGGCAATTTAAGCTTCCTGCAGCAAGTTCAAGAGCAGTGATAGCTACCAGTCTTACTAAAGTATCATAGTTTTTCAGAAGATCATCAACTGTAATGACCTTCATATCCTGGATTTAGATTCAGAGGATGTTGACGCAACCTTATTAACACAGAAAAATGTCTCCATCTTCAGTTATCCCAGGGACACATAATTCAAGCACATTATAATGCACAAATGCAGCTGTTACAAAGAACAGCAGGGGAGATGAATTTCCACACAACAGTACCATAGATAAGGAAGAAAGGTGTGCAAGTGTTCAGGAAAGTTATGGATGTTGAACAATTAAAACTAACAGAAAAATATTCCAGTGGATAGAGTCAAAAAGCAGTTCTTTAATTTTTAAATTTGCACAGCAATAACAGAGACAAATGAGCCTCTGAAATATTTTGGAAAATGTCACTTTACAAACCTTGTAGATTGCTTAAATGTTTATTAAAATGGACCAAAAGCCAAAAACTTCTTGGTAAGATAAATACTTTGTCTTTGCTAAGTAACAATATTTGTGAACAAAACATAAAACTATAATTTTCATGTGTCAAACATAGTAACATTCAAGATTAAATGTTTGAGTCAGACCGGGCATTTTTTTACATCTTCCTATTTACAAGCTCCTCATTAAGACCATTTACCTCACATTAGCTATTAGAATGACTAACATTTTTAAAGTTTGCTCCATGACTAAAACAAAAACAACAGAAATGTCCTTTTACCATAACTTAACAAAAAGCAGAACCATATTTTTGTTATCTAGGAGAACATACTTTTATAAATACAGCTGTTTTTCATCTACAATTATATAAATAATAAACATGCTGCCATTCACAAGGATTTTAATAGATGATTATATATAAGCAATATTACGATCTAGCAGAGGATGGCATGAGTTTTCATCATTCATTTTTATTGTACTTATTCAGGACCCTTGTCTTCATCTGAAAAACGCGGAACAGACTTCTTTGCTACAACATTATCCAGTCGCTGTCCTTGCAGGTAAGGGTTCACACTCTGAAAAAGTTTAAAATTATTTATACTTATTAGGAACAGGGAAACGCATAAAAGGTAACTAGGATTAGTGGCTACATTTATGTATTCCTTATCTGTCAAATACTTGCAGACTGAAGAACAAAAAAAGAGAAAATGCTCCCAGGGAGTAAATCTAAAACATCAATCAGTGTTTTGCTTTCTAATATTTTCGTGTGCAAGAATTTAATCCAATTCACTAAAAAGAATTCAAGAGAAAGAGGATTTTTGAGAATATAGGACAGTCTGAATTAAACACTGTCTTTTTGCTCCACTCCTTTCCTCAGCTCAGCAGAGAAGCAGCAGCGGATCTAACTCCTTAATTCTTGAGGCAGGACAACACTTGTTAGAGAAGTGCAGTTAAGCTTTAGCTTAAATCCCTAGCCTCTGATGGACCTTATGCTCGGAGACAAGTTCGATACCGCGATACCATTTTTGACCAAAGCCTCTTCTTCAGCCCATCTCCTCTCCAGGACACCCCTCCTTGCTTCCTCTCTTGATGCTGAGATAAAAAACTGCTGGCACAGAAGCAGAGCCAAGCAAGGTTTTGGCATAGGAAATGGCTCTCCTACCACTGCCAGAACAAGGGAATGCTGGAAAGATCATCCCTGGAGAGGGTTTAACTTCACTTTGCACCATGCAAGCAGCACAATGTGAGACTGAAGATGAACAGATCCTGTCTCAAAACTGTTTGGATAACATAGTAGCGTAAAAAGCCTATGCTTAAATTTTATCTATACCCATGGAATAAAATGTATTTACTGTGTTTGCAAGTATCAAGCTGTTTAGTGGAGCTTCAGAATTAACTTAAATATCTTTACACCCACTTTCTGGCCTGTTACAGTGTCAGTGTAAACAAAATCCAAGTATATACTTTCTCCTTCACAGATACAGCAAAAATTCTAGTGTGCTGGTTTTTAATGCCAATAAAAATTGTTTGCCTAAGGACAAAATTTGGAGGAATGAAAATTTTCCAGTATCTCCTGATTCTTGTCAGGCAGACTGTATCATAGAAATTACTTTCCTTGAGATGTTTCTGTGCTTCTTTCATCAAAATGTAGGAGTTCAAAACTACGCAAGGAAAAAAAAAGTTTTAAAAATAGGCATGAAATATTTATTTTCAGATTTCCCAAGTATTTAAAATCTCTGGAAAAGATTTGGGGTTTGTCTGTCTTTAAGTCCTTGGGTTTCTCCAGATTTGTAGACACTACCATTAATGCTTAATAATAGCGTAGAGCAGCCCTTTTGTTTTCTTCTATTGTTTTTTGAGTGCTTTGTCTGCTCCAAGTGAAAACATAAAAATATTAAGAACCAGAAATGAATGTGGAAAAAATCTCTGAAAACAAAACTAACACTAATTTAATGCTTTAAATTGTTAAAAATAAGGCATATGTAAATGATTTGTTTGTGTTTGTTTAAAGAAGTTCTGTTTAATGTTAATTTAGTGAAATTCGGCTGTTACATAAACTTCTAGGAATTATTTGAAGATTCTTAGGGAGATTAATTGGTCTTTTTTTTGGAATGGTACTTGCTTGCTACTTTTTGAAATAAAGTAGAAGAGAATGAGAATACAAGAAAATTTGAATCCCTGTCAACCAACAAAAGAAAACACATAATGCAAAATTTTTGGCAGATTTGACTGAAAAATGTTTAATCCTATACAGCTGTGCTGATTTCAAAGTAATGCTGTTCCTGAGTACCTTTGTGCATAGCTCCGAGCCCATGACAACATGACTCAGTGATTACAGAAGCACTCCTGTCGTGCTCGGGATAGTAGATTCTGGACAGGGCTATGCTTGTGTAGAAATTTAAAAAAGGGGAGAATTGCTAGTTAAATTAGAGGTCACTGGAGACTTCCTTGTCTTGCACTGCAAAGGCTGCAAAAAAAAAAAAAATAGCATAGCAGCAAATTGTAAATACATGCCTTTGCTATATATACTGATTATGTGTATGTATGCTTGTATGTCTGTTTATATACATACCTATAATTATATAAACATACACACATACTTGGAATATGTAGTTTTGTAGACTCTAGTAGTGCCTCTGTGACTGTTACTCGATAGCATCATGTATACACAGTTGCATAGGACTTGCTTTGAGCTAAAATCGGGACGTTCTGACCCAAAAGACCAATCTGTTGCCAGAAGCTGTCCTCCCTAAACTCTGTCTGTGCAGAGGGGCATGAAGGAGTGGCAGGCACTGAGAAGGCAGGAGGGGAAATCCAGTGAGCTTTTTGATTTCTGAAAAAATACACTCTGCTGCTGACAGCTCTAGGTTACCCTTCTGCTGATAAAGTGAAAATTCTGAATTATTAAAGCATTAGTAATCATTACAGTATTACTCTTAAAACAATAAAATACTTTAAATGATAATGAATTTATCATTAAGTGACATGCCTGTGCTAAGAAAATAAATCTGCTGCAAAACGAGAAACTGAAGTTTTACCTCCAAAATTCTGGGATACCCCTGTCCATGTGGCTGGTGTGTTTCTCCAGCCATTATTCCTTTTGTATCCAATTACATTAGTCAGCACGCAGACAGAAAATGTGGTTTTTTCCCTTTTTTGTCTCATGTACATATTGCACTAATCCTACTGTAACATGGTGTTCTAACTATTAATAATATTCGACATAACTATTTCCAGAGTAAATTCTACTTACTTTAGAGTTAACACCAGGTGCCTACAGTTTTTCCTTTTCTGCTAACAAATTCGAAAAATCAAATGTAAGCGGGAGGCAGATACTAAGCTCAAGACAGATCATTAACTTATGGTTGAACAGTGTTTGTTACCAGTGATGTGTGAATCAGTAAGAAATCAACTCATCTTCTCCCTGTCCAGCAGGGACTTTAGGTTTGAGAGTTAAATAAATAAATCATCTTCACTCACGCTTCAGTTATTTTAAACCAAATTTACTTCATTTACAATATAAACTGTGCTGTCATATTTTAAAAAGCTACTTTCTGGCAGAGAACTACTTTTTCTTCTTGTAAAAAAAAAAAATACCAGCAGCAAAGCTAAAGACTTTCACTCTGCCTGAAAGTAATTCTTTGATAAAAGGCTGACACTACCAAAAAAAAAAAAAAAAAAAAAAAAGAGACACAATAGTGAGGTGGACTGTGCAGAGTTCTCTGTGATATGTGGATTCCCCTCCTTGTTTCAGAGGCAGAAAGATGAGAAGCCCTGCCTCTTTGTCTTTCAAGCAAGTGGAACACAGAGATAGGAGTTTAATCTGAGGTAAATCTAAATATGTAAGTGAATCAAATTACACCAGCTAAAGAACCAGTTCTACTGTCATTTACACCCAAAACCACATTCACATGCATGGATAATGGTAATTAAGTTTACCAATAGTAGTAGGAAACTTTTCAATTCTGTTTCAAAGACATTTAAATACTTTAAAATGGTTTTATGCAAATAGGATCAATTTAAAACACAGATAATATAAAGTTTTAAAATTAATGTGCATCTTCTGAAAGCAACAGGCTATTTAGTTCACTCCGTGAACTGTCCTGAAGCCTGCTATCACAGAGATTCCCCAACTTCATGCATTATCTAAGGTATAATGCAGATGCATTAGACTAACTCTTCATTTCAACAGCACGATTTTAATTCTTATTAGCTCTCTAGATGATAGAGGTGCTACAAAGTATTCTGATAGTTACCCTCTTTCTTCTTTTTGGACCACCATTAATCTTCTCAAAGAGTAAATTCTTGCTCTGAAAGGGGGGAAAAAATGCAGTCATCAAGCTCATTATACTCTTTTTTAAAATACTACTTTTGCTGTTAAATATTAGCACATTTAGAAGGATGTGTAGTTTTACGGGAAAGATAAACCACAAAAAAATATTTGGATATTCCTGCTAACATTCTGCAGTTCTTCAGGAGCAGTCACATTCTTATCAGGAAGTAAAAAGCCAGTAGTTTTCCACTATGTTGCACTATATTATCATCCGTGTTCAGGCAATAAGTGCTTCAAGTGCGTGCTGGTATAATGATACAGACTGGATGTTCCCCATTATGTGATACACAGTATAAACACATATATATTTAAAAAAAAGAAGGAAAAAAAGAAAAATAAGATGAAGGGAGAGGAAGCAGGAATCCTGCCTCTGTTCTATCTTTCTATACATTTGAGGTGACACAAGAACAGGAGCAAAAAATATTTGCTTTACAAGGGATTTTCTAATTCCTTTTAAAAATGGCAATCGGCGTCATTCCTACTGTTTTGTTGTCTTTGCTTATTCCCTTCCAGATATCAACACTTTCCAGTGCAAAGTTCTGCTGAAAGGAGTTCAGCGCCAACTCTTCCTTTGTTTAAGTAGTGCCCTCAATAAAGTTTCTAAAAACCATTTGGTCTATAACATTTTTAATGGCAAACCTTTTAAAAACTGCCAAAAACATCTTGGCAGAAGAGAAAGTTATGATGAGAAAAGAAAAAACAAAAAAAACCCCCACAAAAAAACCCTCTCTGACCATAGTTTACATAAGTGCATCCACATATTGTTGTGTTTCTTACAAGTAGTGAATTCTAATAAAGACTGGAATAACACACACATGCTCAACACATTTTGTTTCAATTGTGTATTATGAAGAAAAACAAAACTAAACCCTAACCTGAAAATGGAAGGAGAAAAGAATTACATGTATAAAAGCAGAACACTGTATAAACAAGGCCATTAATTCTGCTATAAACAACTGACCTAACATTGATTATATAAATAGAAAGTGTAATTCTAGCGCGAGACAAATTCACCAAACACTTCTACCCTCTCTGCAGCCTTGATATGAGAAAAAACAAACATTTTCAAGTGTTACAATGAAATCTGCCAAAATTGTCTGTTTTGTACTTCTCATGTTCATTAAAACCCAAATTCACAAGGCCTATCTCTTGCCCAACCTCAGATATTTTGTCTGAGCTGTGCCAAAAGGGAACAGAGATGAAGTTGGCCAAGGGAGACATTCTTGACTAGTTAATTATGCAAACTCACTTTGGGAAAACTTAAATTTAACATTTTAAAGAAACCCATGGATGTGTAAATTATTCTTTTTAGGAAACAAAGCACTGCTGAAGCCTCTCTTTGTGAACTATTTGACCTTACAGTTTTCATGAGAGGAAAAATAGTGTATCTGAAATAAAAAAAAAAATCATGGCTATTGGAGCTAACGTTTCTGTCACTCAGGAAAATTCCTCACAATTGAACTGTTCCTGCTCAGGAAGATAGTATTTTGTTTAGTCTATTTGAGAATGTTTTAAGATGGTAACTACTACTTAAGCATTACGTGGAGTGCAAAGCAAATGAGGTTATGGAGCATGAGCTAGGAGTGTGCTTGTATGGTAACAGCAATCCTGAAAATATGTTCCACTGCGTAAGGGCTTGAGCTCATCAGCCACCACCATTTGGCTGTGAAGTGCTCATGATTCTCATTGCTCACCTAGGACTTGTTAGTAATGAAAGCAAGAGTTTCTCCAGTTAAAAATACACCTCACATCGAGACACGCTGCACGTGAATTGCTACTTTGCCCTCCCTCCTGGAGCTTCCTTTGCACCCTCCTGGCTACTTGGATTAGGGTACTACAGGTTAGTATTTGGATGGGAAAAAAATCTCAGAAGTTAAAATGCTTACAACCAACTAACTAATGTGAGAGAGATTTACCCTTAGATCTTTCAGACTTCACTGACACTTCTTTAATTCAGTAATTATCAGCAGCTCTGTAATCTGGACACAATTATTAAGCAAAACTGAAAAGGAAAATTGCATTAGCAAGGTTTCACTCTTTCAGGAGGCCTTTTTTTTTTTCCCCAGTCAATTTACAGTCTCATCAGGACTATGAAACGTGACAATTTCTGTTACACCAAGTGTACTACACTGAATTAAACACTATGCTGTCTGAAACTGAAGAGGGAGACCAGACCTACCATAACCCATCCTAATCACCATTAGCATCCACATATTTAACATCAGTTGGTAAAGAAAGGTGCACTTAACGTTCCTCAATGTAACTGGAGTTGGAATAAAATAAAATCTGAGTGACTAGTTTCAGGTTTCCATTAAAATTAGGAAGCCAGACATGGTGGCTTCTTTAACAAGGAGATCAACTTCGTCAAATACTTTTATCCCTACTTCCCATTTGCCTTTCTTTGTACTATCTTGAATCCCTCCACTGTAGCTGATAAGCAAAACTGGCATTATTTCTACCCTTAGAGTGAAATGTTACCCATTGCTTTGGTAAAAAGAAGTGTTGCTGAAAACCAGAGTTGCTTTTAGTTGTCTATTTGTACTGATACTAGTGTCAGAAAACACAGCTGAACTTCCTCCCTCTTTTTACACGTGGTAGTGGTTAACACTTTGAGCTTCAATAAATAACAACTTACATATAAGTGGCTTTTAGATTTGTATTGTAAATTGTATATTGTAAACTGTCTTCGTGCAACTGTCTTCTTTCCGGATACCAACAACACTTCTTCAGAAGTCAAGTCACAAGATGTGGAAAAGGCAAACTCAAATGGAAAGTACGCATCTCCTGCAAGTTCCCCCTGAACTCAGGGGAAAAAAACCCCAGAAATCTTAGAAACTATAGTTGCACACTAGGGTAGAAACCTCCAAAAGTCCTTCATCTTACTATTCCCACTGTCCTCTCTACGTTTCCACATATAAGGAGAAAAATAAAGTGTCTTCAGGGCTGAGGAGGAAAGTATAAGCTGTGTATCACACCATATAAACAGAGTCTGTTCCAAAGACTTCCCACTGGTCAGAATATTGATGTATGGAGAGTTGTTCCAAAGACAGGAAAATTCTTCCTCTTTTTTCCCCTCTCCTAGCCCCATATATATTTATCATGATTTATATATTTGTATTTTCATACGTAATAGCAGTATTTACACATAATATTTCGCATCTATATGGAATCATACACTTTGCTGTACGAGACAGCTTCTAGACTTATTTTAGCCTTATAAAATGTGCCACTATTCACAGAGGTGCACTGCAGAGGTTCAACAGCTTTGCAAGCATGACAGTCTGTCACCAAAACAAACCATGCAACCTGTTCCTTTCCCATTATTCATGAAGAAACAGGTCTTATTTCTGACCTGCTAATGTAATTTGGGTTTTACTGTGGTTATGCTAAGCAATGCACGCAGGCTTCTTGAAAGGACAAGTCAGTAGGAACTGTAACACTGCCTCAACTGCTCTGTGGCAGGAAAAGGCAGGGGAGAAGCTCCCCTGAGAGCTGCGAGCACACGCCAGCTCGTGCGAGTCCAGGAGACACACTGGCTCTGAGGGCTTCAGACAGTGGTGTCAGCCTAGCGCCTTCACAGCACGCAGGAGCTGGTGGAGATGCAGTGTGTAAATACACAGCCATTACACCCCAGGGCATTTGGTCCTAGACTCTTCCACGGGAGAAGCAGGAACAGCCTGCTGGTGGGCAGAGGGGATTTTGGTGGCTGGGGGCAGTGGGAAGATAAGGACGCACACAGTTACCTGCGGGGCAGCCCACAGTCAGCTGTGTCAGTCATTTACGACCTAATCCAGATGACAGTAAGTGACCTAGAAGATCTGATCTACTTTATCTCTCCTTTATAAAGTCTCAAATGGCTAATTTTTAGAGTGCTTTTCTGCTCTTGTTTTTCCAGAGAGATAAAAATAACAAAACCAGCCATAAAACCAGATACCGTTGTATTTATATTTTTAATGTGTGGTAATATACAACAAGGAGGCAAGCGGGGCGATTCTCCTGTATCTCGGCAGAACATTTGCTCATGCACATTACCAGCTGTTTCACCTCTAATTAATAAGATCTGGAGTTGGCTATGCTGCAGCTAGATATGATTACTGTTTAGTACCTAATAGTCTGTTTTAATCCATGCATGAGGAGTTTTTTCCCCTGAATTAGTAGTGATGGATGGAGAAATTAAAAAAGGCCAGTATTCACTAATGATTACCCACCATTTAGTAAGTATATATGTTGCTGATGACAACGCAGTATGTACGCTTGATTCTGAAATATTGCTATGGGCCAAAGATTTACAGAAGTGCTTTTATAGTCTTCAAAATGGTATTATGAAAGTAAATTACTTATGAATAGTAAGAAAACTAACAGTATTATCTGGCATAAATAAGAAAGTTCACCATCTGGTGTTTTTAAAATGAAAACCTTTGATGGTAATTACTTAGAATGCAACAACAGTTTCCAAAATTTGGATTTTTGGCATGATTCTCTCCAGAAATTTAGCACTCACATAAGTAATTAAGGCAATAAATCTTACACTGGTTTGATTACGAATGATGAATCATTGTCTCACAATTACAGCAGGAGAGGAGGCTGCCAAACATGTCCATTTATCGACATATCCTTACAGAGCATTGGTTTAGGGCAATCTTAAGTAAAGTGTTATAACAATGTAAAATGAGATTTCATGATTTGCTCTAGAAGCATAAATTATGGTCATTGTTATTGTTTTCCTGGCGCCTGAAGATGGATTTAGGATTGGACATTTAACTGATGTAATCTAAGATTAAGCGGCAAAGCTCTCTTTGGAGCCTCTAGCCTGCAGAAATATTCTAGCTGGAGTTATTAAAGCCCTTGTACGCCCAGAGCAAGATTTTTGCCCTTAGTATAGCTTGCTGTATTTATTATGTGCGATGTGTAAAACAGGTTTTCAATATAATATAGTGTACAACCTGACTAGAGAAAGAAGCAGCATCAAGTATTCTAAAGTCCTTTGGCCAGAGAGGATTCCTTTGAGCAAGATGTCTGGACCTATATTTTTTAAGGTGTTTAGGCACTGCTGCACTCCATTTATTTTTAATTTTTTAGCACCTAAGTAGCTCAACAGTGAATAGTCACTGAACCTGGATAGTCTTTCAAATTAGGGTCTTGTTATGTTTTGAAATCTTGTGCTAAAATCTGCACTAATTTTGGTTCCTTGTTCACTGTAGTTTGAAATGTCATTTTTTGCAATTATCAAGCACATACATAGTTCTCACGCATTGGGACAGGTAATAGGACAAGGATTCCTACTTTCTATTTTTATGGGCTTTTCATCAATCACAGGCATTCATCAATACATTCTGTATTTTAAGGGCGAGATCCCCTTTTTGAGACGTTTCTCTTAGGGTGATACTTTTTCCAGCAGTAAGCATAATATTCTCCTTGTGGTTTCATAGTATCCCATGCAGCAGACAATACCTGGCTTCACATGCAACAAAAATAAGCAAGAAGCATGTACTCACCCACTTGCCCATGTTGGGATAGTCATGCTCTGGATCAAAAAGGTGTTGGTGCAGCTGGTATTCACTGCTGAACTCTGCAGTGTCTGGGGTGTTTTCTAGACACCCATCATCAACTGCAAAAGTATGAAAGTTAGAAAAGCACTGAGCACTTACTAGCTTTGAAACACACAATATGTACCACATTAATCAGCAAACTTCTTAAATGCATTTATGCAATTTAAAAAAAAAAAAAAAAAGACATTTAAAGAACTGGATGACTGGAAAATACCAGGGTTTTTTTTCTTTTGAAAGGGGTTTGTTAGGATATAATTAAATAATTAACCCCCCCCCCAACAACTTAATGAAACAAAATTATTTTCCAAGATCTCCCCCTGCTTGTTGTTTTCTTTTAAATTAGCGATCGAGCTTGATTTTTCATAGAACTGCATGTTATCCTGATTCAGAAGGGATCCTCTTTCCATTTTTAAATGCCTGCAGGAAGTTGTAGAAATTGTTTAGGCAATACTTTTGATGCTCATGGTAAAACAACGCTGTGAGCAAAGACAGTATTTACTTCACTGAGTAGCTCTTCATGGAGCTCCATTTCTGCTTTGCTACTTTGTTCAAAATGTCTGAAAATCATGTACACATCATAAGAGCTCACAAAAATGCAATGTGGCAGAAGTTTTATGCTGAAGACATTTCTGCAGATTGGTAACTAATCTGATGGGTCCAGATGTCTGGTTTTGCAGACAGTGTCACGTCAAGGATGAGCCTCTTTTAAAAATCAGCTTATGGACTTTTTACCAAAATAAGTCATCTTCAGATTAAACAAACATTCAGCGACTTGAGGCCAGAGTAGCTCTTCGGATAGAGTGCTCCTGCAGCTCCCACTGCTTTGTCAGCGTGGGGAATTTGCAGTCCAAGTTCCTCTCAGACATACGCAAGGAGATACTACCACCTGGGGCATGATGCTGGGCATCCAAGCAGCTACATCTGCCAGAACAGAGGCACTCCAGAGGACACACCTGTGGACCTTCCCTTCTGTCCTTGTGTGATTATCATCTAAAAAGATTTGCAGATGGGTTATCTTTTTCCCTTAGATGTGGGAAACAGTAAAGAAATGATTTAAAAATTAGTTGATTCAATGACCTGAGGAGGTTATTTTAAGTCCAACAGATCTTGCTTTCTCTCTTTTCTCCGTAAAATGGGAAAAAAATAAAGTTGCTAACAGGAAATGGGGGAAAACTAACCATACTGGTTAAGTAACTCAGAAACCATTAAGTTAACCACAAACACTTAAAAATTATTTCAGTCTCAGCAGGGACAGGGTCATCTCAAGAGAGAGGCAGGTGACAACAGAAATGTTGTAGGACTTCTCAGAGCATCTGTGTCTTTTGGTAGAAATCACAAATGGCAGCTGGACATAGGTGTACCCTCTGCAACTGCTAATCCAAAAGTCTTCAAGCTCAAGTGCTCCAGGCTTATGTATTCTGGCTGTGAAACGTGCATATGTAGACAGTGACTGGAAAAATTGTTTTCCATTAAGCAAATCCACAGACCTGATTGAGAAAGGCCCCTGGTAATTTGTATGCATAATACAGTCACCACTTGAATTTCCATTTAAGGCTCTGAAAAACATTTTACTCTAATCCTAGTAGATAATATCTTCACTCACAGTGTACCTACGACAGAGCCATTTATCTGAGCAGGCAGCACTTCCCTAAGAATTCCCCCTGTGTTGAGATCTGATTATATTAGCTTAGCTAACAACTTTTATTTCACCTAAGAAAGAAAAATTGAAGGGATTTTCAAAGGCATTTCTTTGGATACCAGGTTTTTGATTTATTTAATCACTAACAGAAGTCTTATGGGCAAGCACAGAAGATAGAAAGTCTGTGTGTGTGCTTGCGTGTGTGAGAAAACCTAAGCCCATCATTTGCAACCTGTCAGACAACAGCTATATTGAACAAAATGGAAGATTAGACATTATTTCAGAAAAGATGCAGGCATCATCACCAAATGGGCTGTAATAGAAAACAGCAAGCAAGGACTATGCGATATTTTGTTGTATTTTTGAATGAAATGTAAAAACACTGTTTGCAAAACTTTTCATGACAAATATTTATTTTTGATGAATTCTAAGCTAGTTAGAACACTTTTTAATAAGAATACAGACAACTGTTTTGCATTATCTGAATAACATAAAAGAAGACTAAACAGAAAAGATTTTGAAAGGATGTTTTAGCTCACAAATAAAAAATGAGAGAAAAATAGAGTGCTCATTCCCAGTTCCAGCTCCAAAGGCAGCCAATGGGTGTTTTACTACTACTCTCAGTACTGGAAATCATTCCTTGGCTCAAATAACAGGAAAAAGATCAATTCCCTTAGAGTATGTCTATATCATGTGCATGCAGTGGTGCTTTAGATATCCTTCAGTGCTAGCCACCCACATGGCTTGGTATATGTGCAGCTGCAAGCTGAGGGACGTATTGGGTGTCTTGGGTACCGTACTGCTCTGGCACTCCAGGGCTGCACTGCTCCTCTGCCAGAGCGAGCCTGCGTGCAACGCGTTGGGGTACATCCACATAGTTCTCCATTTCTTGGCATAGATGCACCCTCAGTGAGCTATAAAGCCAGATGGTTTGGAGCCAAGGTATCTTAAATATTGACTCATGGTCTGGGTTGGAGATCAGGGCAGACAGTTTCATTCCTCTTGGCACAATGAAAGTCTCTAAAATAGGGGTAAATCTCATCTATACAGAATGATAACTTTTTCAGGGGCCAGCCTAAAAATGAACTCCCTCAAGAACAAGATACTATCATAAATCTCACTATCTTCTACTCTGAGGTCAAGATGGTTTCTTCCACCTGACCTTCTCTAGTAGTCATGTAGCAATACAGAAGGTACATGCATTAACAAAAAAAAAAAAAAAAGTCTCATCTAAAACACCTGAATGCTTCTGGGGCAGAGAATGAAAGAAAACACCCACTGCTGATCAGGTGTCGTACTGCCTAGTACAGGGCTGAAAGACATACAGTGAAGACAGAGGTGCGAAGGCCACAGCAGAATTACCTGTTTTTCCAATAGGACAGGGATTTGGAGGGTCAGGATATCCTTGATCTTCACTGAAATCCTTTGGTACGTTATCTCCTGTCAGCTCAGCCACGATGTTTGGGATATTGCCATAAGGACCCAAGTGCTGGAGACCCTCATGCGCACCACCTAGCAAAGACAATTTACACACATTGTCTTTCTTGAAGACTGAAAGTGTAAATGCTTTAGTTGCTTCAAGTAATCCTGACTTAGTCTGAAAATACATATATATAATTGTTATAGAGACAAATCCAAGTTTAGACTTCACATGTCTCAAAAACATAACCCTGTGACCTAAATCAGATAACTTCGGCAATGAAAAACGAAACCAGGAAACAAAATCAGACAGTTATTTTTAATCTTAGGGTTGTTATTTTCCTTAACTATGTAAGTTATAGGTAAGAATATGCAAAGAAAAAGAAACATCGGACAGTAATGGAACTTAATACATTTGCTGCACAATCATCTTCAGTCACTGTTCATTGTAGCAACTTGAAGAAAATACAGTAAGACAGCATCATGGCAAGAAGAAAAAATTAATGACACTGTAGAAAAATAATACTATTTGCAAAGCCTAGAAATACATAATTCATTAAGTCATGTGAGGGGACACAAGATAGAGCAAATTTGGTTGTATGGAGCTAGGAAAATTATTTTTAAATCAAACCATTTCTTAAATGCAAATTAGAATTTCCTGCAGTAATGGTGAAAAGTGATTAAGAGACCATATTGTTGACAGGAATTCTTGTTCATGTACACCTACACAGTAGTCATTACAGTATGAAACATCACATTCAGTGACTTATACCTTTACTTAATAGACCAGTTCTAGATGCAGGCTTCTATATTTTCCCTGCAGGACTCTCAGAACAATCACTGCAGGGTTACAGCAGCAGCATGCAGCAGGTTTTATAACTCAGTGGTGCAGGACATGATGGCCTTCCTGTTCTTGGGCAAAAGCACACAGAACTGGTGTGCTACAGCCTTCTTCCACGCATCTCAGCCTGGGCCCCTTGCCTTTGACAAGTATGGTCTTCCCCTGAAGGTTTGGGAACCAAGCTCAGGCCATTCTCTCTCTATGCCTCTCTACAAATACTTATCTGCTCCAGATCTTTTCTGGAGCATTACTGGCCAAACGCATCTACAGGCTGAAACCCAGCTGCGTGCGGAGTATTCTAAATACTATTGTACAGTGTTCTTTTGAATTTCAGACAAATAAAAACTTAGTTTCAAGCCTGCTCTTTTTCCCTGCCATAAGATGGCCACCACACACATTGCAGTAACAGCTGATGTAGTTATCAAGTAGAGAGATGTCTGTGTGACAGCAGAGTAACATTTTTTTAAAACCCTATAATGAGGGATAACAACATACAGTCAACATACAAATTCCACTAATAATGAATGAGAGAGAAAGGAATTTGAATGATTGGAAAACATGAGTTAAAGAGTGAACACAGACACAACTATTTGTGTAAATAGCATGATCATCATATTATAACCAAATAATCTTATTTTTAATTTCTATAATTTTCATAGATCCAAAAGATTGGAATAAAGCTTCTAAACATGAAAGCTATTCCAGAAGAATCATTCAAGTACCTCTGTCCCAACTTACAAATAAATACTACCAGCATAAATCATCTTTTATACAGCTAGGCATTGTAAGCTAAAATAATTACTTTTGAAAATTGCTAACGTAAGGCAGTCTTGACAAATTTTGTATTAATTTCTACATTTAGAAGTGGTAGTTGAGTCAAACTGTCTCTATTTTGCAAATAATCAGTTGGAAGCTGGCATTATAATACCAGGAGCAAGTTAGTCTATAAGCATATATACTTCAATTTTATTTGCATGATGGACTAAAATCTAATCAACATGCTAATTTTCCCCCTTGAGTACAAGTTTTCTACAAGGAAAGTTTTACAGATGTGTAACAAAACTAGAAGAAGCCCTATAAAAAAATTTGCATCTGTGTTATATGAGTTTTTCCCTTGTAGCTGACCATGAGACCTGGTACTAAAACCAGAATAGTGTTATACGCTATGAACTTTATTATACATTTACAGTCCATAGTCAATACAAAGATGATGCTTGTAAGAACTGTATAGATTCACAATAACGCTATGGTGATGAGCTTAAAAAATATATATAACATATATTTAATCTAATGTCTAACGTATAGCATAAAATACTTCTTTTGTACTGACTCCTTCACATGAAGATTGATTGCATATATGTACTTAAAAGCATCAGGTTATGATTCTGCTGTAAACTACAGAACTACATAATCAATACGTGTTTGAACATCCTGTATACAATGTGGTTCACTACGGGACAATCCATCAGATAGAAGCATATCTACGCTTGCATGTGGTGCAGACCTCTTGGCACCAAAGCTCCATCCATAAAGAAAACAGAGGTACTTAGCAGGCTCCAGTGTGCTATGTATACGTGTAAGTTTAAACTGACTGCCAAGAATTCCCTTGACCAAGTACAAAACAATATTTTTATATTAATAGACAGGATTGTTTCCTTTAGGTATAAATGTCCATATGCATTTAAGGGTTTTTCCTTTCTTTCCAAAAGAGCTGGAGACAATAGCACCTGCTCTGGTGCCATAATTTAGCACACTTGAGTGATTTAATAGTGTTAGCAAAGCCCATTCCTTATAAACTCTGACAAACAGTGCACTCAGTAAAGACTGCAATAATAAAAACGAAATGCTATGAATATACCGAATAGGGGTATTACGTACAGTAATTCACAAACTGCATTAGCTTTCGTATTGTAATGCTTCTGATTCAAATAAACATATTAGGATTAAATACACTGCAGCTACCAAGTCAAAATATTGTGATACAAACATACAGAGTCACCTTCAAAAATAGCACAAGATTGGTCTCTTGAACTTTAAGGCACAGACTGAAAGAAAAAGACAAGACTACTAAGTATTGAGGAACTTTTTGTAATATCTTATCCAAGAGAAGCATGAGATCCACCATTGTTAAATTATTGGAAACTGGACTAGCAAAAATGCAGAAGAATAGTACAAAGAACACCCTTGTACTGAGAAAGGATGGGCTAGATAAATCTATATTCTTTGTATCTCTCCTTACTCCTTGTATGAGCTGGCTTTTGTCTGCCACATACTAGCAAAACCAAAAAAACAGCCAACAAACAAAAAACCAACAACAAAACAATCCGCTCCCTTTCACTTGGAGGATTTGCGTAAGCATGTAGTTATTTTGCATCTCTACAGGATAAACTACAAGTTTAGGTCTTTTGGACTGAGGTCAGTATTGTCATAAGAAAGCTTTGAATTTCAATTAAAATACATGCACATATGTAACCATCTCCTGGCACTGGTCTGGAACTGTTGCAAGGTGGAAAACAAAAATGGAACAATGCCTCTCCCCTTTCCTATAATTCCAGAAAAGTCTTTAATGATCTCACCAACCGCTCATATCATCTCAATTAGAGATAGTTGGAATTACTAAAAATTTAAAGTGCACACATTTTAGCTCATTTCTTTTTAGGAGCAATACCGTCTCTATGGGTGGGAGGACAACACAACCACTCTGTTCTTGGAGGGAAAAAAAAAAGAAAAAGAAACAAAAGGAAAACACAAAGAGCAACCAGTTTCCTGCCACTACTGAATATTCCCCTGACCAAACACATCGAATGGAAATGCTTTTAGTCCACTGAAGTTCTAGCTGCTGCTATCCATCTGTTGGTAGCATAACGTACAACTGAAACAAATCTGCTCTCAGAAGCAACCCTCCACATCAAATACAAATGGGCAACACTGCCCCGCAGGAGAGTCATTTTAAGAAAGTCAGTGAGAATGGATTTTCAAAAGTGTAAAATGATTGCAGAATGTTTAAAGCCAAAGAACGGCACAAATTTGCCTTTCAGTCTGATTGGAACAGTTTCCCACGTCGCAGTGTAGATCGGGTTACCCCACTTCCAAATTCAGAAAAGAGGTGGTTTGGCCAATCTTAGCAGAGAGATACAAAATAGAATGGATCACGAGTATCTGTTGTGACTAAATAAATCCCAGATCCCAAATCAAAGCCCTTTACTTAGAGAGTCACGTTAGATGCCTTAGTTTTCATATTTTTGCTCTTAAACATCATGAAGCAGATTCTTAAAGTGTCCAAGCCTTTCCCAGATGCACAGAGGAATACTTCCCCAGAGTAAGAATTGCACCTCTTATGATCTTGAGCTGTACAAACTCCAAGCAAATATGAGCTGCAAAGGAAGCCTGGTATACCTTATCTCATATTTGTAAGATTCCCGAGGGAGTAGATAGATATTAATCAGAGATGCGATACCATCTTTGCTACTTTGCAAAATCTTTTGCTAATCTAGACTATTAGTTCTTATCACCAGAAAAATCTTCAAAATTATTTCCAGTGTGTCCTCTCTGATACAGACAGGTCTTTTTCTTTTCACTGTGACAGCTTTCCGTACTATCTTGCACTTCTGTCCCCAGACATCTTGCCATATCTACCTTTGCTATGTCACTGTCACATTCAAAAGTGATATCTCATCCCTAATCAAAGGCAAGTTAGGCAGAATGTGCCTTCAAATGGGACACCACCCCCTAACTTCCTTTTTCCTTTCCTTTATTATCTGCAAGACTCCCCGCTATGTAATCTGATTAATTCAAACTGACAAAAAATCCTAAATGCAAAAATGCATTTTTCATTTTCCTTACCCTTTCTAACATCGCTAAAAGCTTTACAGTCCCAATGCCATTTCTCCCATGCACCTTCAGCTAGCTTTGTCGTAGACAGTCCTATCCTGGTTGCTGAGGTTGATTAAGATCAGGAAATGAGAGGCACTGAAAAAAATATAAATTATCACATTTTCGTTATTCCCCAGAAGCTGTTAAATAACAGAATAGTAAAGGAGAAAAAGTGTAGGAGAACCAAGAGTGGAAAAATGCAAAGCTAGCCAACTTCCTTAACCATTCAAGAGCATGCCTCAGGAAACCCAAGAAAACTACAGCTATACATACTCAAGCATCTCAGATTCCAGAGTCAGCTTGTTTTCTCCTTAATGACACAAAGTTTCTTAAAACTATAGAGATTAATTTTCTTTTTCTCTGCAAAGGGACAAATTCT